CCCACGTCTCTCTCAATAAGAATAGATGCAACTATACTATTCTTCTAACATTAACGGCTAACCTCCAAGCATTCCCCTCTACTCTTTTTATATTCATCGAGTAAGAAGAATCTTCTCGGTCCTTGATACGAGCACCTCTCGTATATTCACCAAATCTCCACTTTCCATATTTGAGCTTATCTTCCATTAAGCTCATATGCCACGTCATCTTCTAATTAACGTTTCTTCCAAATTCTTCTCTTCACATATTTGAATAAAAACTTCATGCCACATCATCCTCTACTTAACCATGTCACCTTAACTGCATGTGCTCCACATCATATCTGATGCTTCAAAGACTCCTCTTTCATATGAGTCTTCAAAAGAGCCGTAAACTCTTAGCTACTTACAACTGCGACTACGGGGAGCAGCCGAGGCTTTTCCTAGAGTCGCGGTTCGAAGAGCACGAAGAATTGGTCTATCAGCACATTAATGACTTGCGACAGTTTGGTCTGCATCCCTAAACGATACTGGATCAACGTTTTGAATCCTTGGACTAGACAACTCCGGCGATATAGATATGGAATCGAAGCATGGTGGGCTATTTTCTCTCCGGAAAATCGAGCTTTGGGATTCGGTAGAGACAAAGTTACGGGGAGCTATAAAATAGTGAAGATATGTTATAAAGAAGTGTTGGGATATCAATCCAAGTCCCACATCAGAAGTTTAGACATGAATGGTCTAATATATAGAAGATGTCCAACTCTAATTAGTATGAGACATTTTGGGAAGGTGCCGAAGAACAAATCCGTGCGGACTTTGCTTTTGGGTCCAAAGCGGATAATATCATACTAATTGGAAAGTTGGACATGGGCCCAACAAATGGTATCAGAGCCTAGATTCGGAAAAGTGGACTTGGAAAAATGGGTTGGGCTGCGTGTTCGTTGTGGGAGGAGAGCCTTCAAAAAGGTGACCTCGCGAATAAGGGTGCAAGGACCTTGTGTTGAGGGGAGGATTGTTGGAATATCAATCCCAAGTTCCACATCGGAAGTTTAGACAAAAATAGTCTAATATATAAGAAATATCCAACTCTAACTAGTATGAAGCATTTTGGGAAGGATTCCAAAAACAAATACGTGCGGACTTTGCCACTTGGATCCAAAACGGACAATATCATACTAATTGGACAGTTGGACATGGGCTTGGAAAGCCCAACAAGAAGTGAAGATGTGTTGTTTGGTTGGTCATGTGTTGGAGTGTAGTGTTCTTGATGTTGGAACTGGTGATTGGCAGATGTTGAGTCCACCTCGTTACAAGGTCCATTCGAGAAGAAAATCGGTGTGTGAATGGATCGATCTACTGGCTACAAAGCATTGGGATTGGTTACAAAATACTAGCCCATTGGATCTTCACAAAGAAGACTTCAATAATGTACCAGTTCTGCCTGTAAGTGTCACGCAAGAAACAACCCAATTAGTGAATCTTGAGGACCGCCTCGCCATAGCCAGTACATATACTAATCCTGAATGGAAACTAGAGATATGGAGCATGGATACAAAAGAAGAAAGATTGAGCAAGACTTACTCCATACATTTAGTCGGAAAAGGTATTTTCCCCGAAATTCGGAAAAGGAGGTTCACGCCTATCGTGGTTTCTAAGCAAGGAAATCTTGTCTTCTATGACAATTACAAGAGGCTTTTCAAATGCTATCCGAAGACAGATGACATTCGTTGTCTATCCTCAGACACTTGTGTTATATCTCCTTTCTTCGAAAATTTGGCTCCGCTGGAGAATTTGGTTACCACTCTAGTAGTAAATGGTAATATTTGGTTATCTTGCTAAGAGTATGTCTACTTATCGTAGTGTTAAACTGGTTCAAGATATGACTGGATTTGTATTAGACAAGAATTGCTTACTACTATCCATTATAAATTTTTGGAAAGAAGAGAAAAAAAAACCAACACAGAACAAAGAAGAAGAAGCCATTTTCTAAATTTTTAAAACCATTCACAAGTCACAAGACAACAAACAAACCCATTAAACTTCCGTTCACAAATCCTTAAAAAACATCTTTCGTTGGAACAGAGGTGGTCGAAGCGGTTTGGTCGGATGCGGAGGATAGACCCTCAAGCATTCTGATGATCTCGGCCGTATCGTCTAAATAGTATTTAGCTTTGCTTGGTTTTTGACCAACTGTGCAAGCGAATATCTCAGCCACCGGAGACAAAGACGGACCATCTTTTGCACCCATTATGACCTCAAACATATCCTCGTCAGACCTATCATCGCCTACACAGAGAATGAAATCCAAAAGCTTTCCTTTTTCTTGCATTGTTGTTAGAAGCTTCTCGGCCACAAGACCTTTGTTCACACCCTAAAGAAAGAACAATGAAACTTGAAATCTTGAAAAGAGAAAACAGAGAGGATAAACTAACTCTTTAGAACTGACCTGTGGTTTAACTTCAACGAGTTGTTGTCCGGTCTTGACAGAGACTGGATCGTTTGTGAGCACGCTTTCAAGGTGTTCCATGAGTTCTTTAGCTTGACAAGATCCAAAATCAGGATCTGCAAATTGGTAATTCCAAACCAGAGCAGTCTCTTTAGTCTCTATAGTTGATCCATCTGTAGTCTCAGTGTACAATCTCATGACTGGCTCTGCTATTTGTTTCCAGTCAAAACCCGATACCACACTCGACGTTTCCCACTCTGTTCCATCATTTGGCCTGTCCACACAAAAAAAAATCATAACTGTTTGCCAAATTCAATAATGAGATTCAAGAAGGTATGAAACCAGTACCCATATGAACAAATCATAACTCCAAGGATCGATTTTTTTCAAGTAACCGTAATGAATTCAAGAAGATGTGAAAAAGAAAATCTTTTGACTTAATGATATAAGAAGATATGAAACCAAGTGTTACCTTATAAAGTAACCGTGCTCTGCGCCCAAACCGAGATTATCACATGAAGAAAACCATTCGGTCAGCGTCTTTCTGTCTTTCCCGCTGACGAGAAACACGATATTCTTGGGATCACTAGACAGCTTGTTCAAGATATTGATCGTTTCGCGGCTTGGCGTTGTCCTGATGGACCCTGGCTGCACCATTGTGCCATCATAATCCAAGAGAATGGCTCGGTTCTTGGTCCTCTTATAAGCTGAGACAATGTGCTCAATCGAAAGCTTTTTAAAACTCGGATCAAGCGCCACAACTCGAAAGCTTAACCCGAAACCTATCCCCCAACATCTCTTCCTTACATGGTCATTACAAGCCCTTTCAAGATCCTGTATAAAGCTGCGAGCCCAATACGCAACATCATGTGTGCTCACATATTTGTGATGCTTCTCGTGACGCATCTGCTTCTCTGCTTCTGATACTATCAATGCATAGTCCATTGCTTCAGTCACTGCATCAATGTTCCACGGGTTCACTCTAATGGCGCCGCTTAGAGAAGGCGAACATCCGATAAACTCAGAAACGACAAGCATACTCTTCTTTGCAGCAGAAGGATCCAAGCCGATAGTTTTGTTGAGTTCCGGATTGCCTTGCCTGCAGATAATGTACTCATAAGGTATAAGATTCATACCGTCTCTCACTGCTGTAACAAGACAACACTCTGCAATCACATAGTAAGCGATCCGCTCGAAGAACTGAAGCGGTTTATGAATCAGAACCACGGGTTGGTAACCTGGCCTTCCAAACATTTCGTTGATCCTTTTAACCGTTGCTTCGGTTTCACACTGAACTTCTTGAACATCTTTCCCACGGCCTCTTGCAGGGTTAGCTATCTGGACAAGCACAACTCGACCTCTCTTCTCGGGATGTTGAGTGAGAAGTTGCTCCATTGCCAAGAGTTTGAGGCTGATTCCTTTAAAGATGTCCATATCATCGACACCAAGAAGAACCTTTTGATCCAAGAACTGATCTCTCAGCTCAGCAACTTTGGTCTGAGTCTCCGGGAGGTTTAAAATCGACTGAAGCTGACTGATATGAATCCCGACCGGAAGAATCTTGATACTAACGGTTCGACCGTAGTATTCAAGCCCTATGGTTCCTCTTTTGGACTGATAAGACAAACCAAGCATCCTACTACAGCAAGAAAGGAAATGTCTTGCATAGTCAAAAGTATGAAACCCGATCAGATCAGCGTTGAGGAGTGCGCGTAAAAGCTCGTTACGCACGGGAAGAGTACGGTATATCTCAGAGGAAGGAAATGGACTATGAAGGAAAAAACCAAGCTTTACTCTATTAAACCTCTTCCTCAAGAATGTAGGCAAAACCATTAAGTGATAGTCATGAACCCAAACAAAATCATCATCAGGACTAATCACTTCCATAACTTTATCCGCAAAGATCTTGTTAACCGAAAGGTAAGCTTGCCATAACGAACGATCAAATCGACCTCCAAGATCAGGCGTTAAAGGAAGCATGTAATGAAACAAAGGCCAAAGATGTTGCTTACAGAAACCATGATAGTATTTGGTGAATAGCTCAGGTGGGATATAAGCAGGAACACATTTGAAATTCTCAAGCAATCTTTGAGAAACATCGTCTTGTTCGACTACATCGATTTGTTCTTTAAGACAACCAATGTAGACAACTTCCATGTCTTCTCTCATACCATCTTTAAGCTGTAAGAGAAGTGAGTCATTGTCCCAACTAAAACTCAATTTACCGGTCGAGCTTCGATGTGATTTGATTGGAAGTTGGTTTCCAACAATGATGATTCGATCTTGAGTGACTGAAGAAGGAGCATCAGAACAAACACTGTTGCTGTTGTTATCATCATCAAGCTCAGACAAGACACCAGTTACAGTTGCTACTCTTGGAAATCTCTTCTTTTCTCGAGAAAACGAATGGAAATTTCCAGAAGCAAGATCCAAGAGATTGGAATAAGATCTTGATACCATGTTTTCTTGAAGTTTATACAATAAACTCTCTAAAGCAAATGATTGAGGTCCAAATGTCTCTGCAACATAAAACAACAAAAAGAAACACATCAAAGATCAAATCTTTTGTATCATTAACACAAAACCAAATCTTTTGTATCATTAACACAAGACCAAATGGTCCAAATCTTTAATCTCAGAGATCATTAATTTTCAAACATTAAGAGAAATCATGTAAAAGGTTTCATTTTTAGGCCAAAACTGGGAACAGAACAAAGCAGATCTCAGACAATAAACCCCAAAATTTACAGAAGATTCTTTGACATGAAAGATGCAAAGTTAACAGCACAAAAGCGGAAGCTAAATCTGAAATTAGAACAAATTTCACAAAATCTCAAACAGGTTATACGCACAAAATCACATACAGGAACAAAGCCAAGAAAACTAACCCAAATGCGACATAAATTTTAATTTCAACTAATTAAAAAAATTAACAGAGCTTACACTCATATGAACAAGATCAAAACACAGAGCTCAAAGAAAAAAAAAAGAAACTTTATGTTAATTGAAACTTTATTCAGATTCTTTCAGTTACAT